TATATATATATATATATATATATATATATATAACGGACAATAGAAATGATTAATTTCACTGCATTCAGCCCGAAGGTTTTTTTAGCAGACAATAACATTTGCAAGGCTGAGGCAGTTAGTCTGAAAGATAATCGTTCATTAGAGTAAAAAAGAACGACCTGCGCATCAGCCTGCTCGGTCATGAGGCCTGTTAGCTAGAGTCTCTAGCCGCGAATACTCATCTTTTGGAATCTAGCCAAAGCGCATGCAGATGACTGTTGAGGTTCCTTACCGAACCAGCAAAGCTGACTGCCGTATGCTACACGGCGTCTGGTTGTCATCCCTGTTCATCTTCGTACGTGAAAAGCGGGCACAAAAGGTCAGCTTAGTGAACTCATCCACGTTCGCATTATAGATGCTGCTTTCGTCTGGGTTGTGAAAGCCCAGTTTGGCGGTCTTGGCGCGCACGAGAGCATTTTAGGCTGATGTAACTCACGTACTGTCCATAGCAGTGACAATGACAAACGCTTACAGCTGCTCTTTCGTACGGTGGCCTCTGTGCACGGTGTAACCTGCGTGATTGTATCGTTTGGAGATCTCTCCACTCTGACTGACTTTGCACTCAAGCAAACAACGTCATGAATAGCGTCATAAACAGTACGGATTTAGGGTACGGACCATTCTGCGTCCCACTCATGAGAATATGCATCCCCAACTTTAGTGCGCCCCTCCCAAACTTGCATCAGCAGGGTGGCCTTTCTCCTTTCGCTGAACCACAGGCTGCCAACCGTTTCCATACCTAGCTGCCTTCGCTTTGGGAACCAAGTCAATGGACAGCATCACGGACCGTTAGTGGAATACCCAGGATTTGGGAAAATATCGCTTCATATCGTGCTTTCATGGTGCTCACTTGATACCTAACCCTCCCTCAGTGCGCCTCAATATGCACCTCTGTCCTTCATTAATAACACAACGATTACAAATTCCCTGAAGTCCAACTGTCCTTTTTCTTGAAGTAGGCTCGTACACTCCGTTGTCCTGGGCGCATATCGGAGCTCGGAGCCTTGTCGGCCTCTAGAAATCTCCAGGATCTGTTTTAGTTGAGCACGAATCGAGCACGAGAATCGACAAACGTAACCGAATCAGAACTGCGTGACAGAAGTAAACTGGTAGTCAGTCTTTAGGCGCGTATTGAACTGTAGACACGTCACTTCAGTCAAGAATTCAGCTGACCCCAGTTCCTGGCTTCTGGATCCCAGCGCCGTCAGTACATAGTAGCTCATTACTACAAACCCATTAACTATGCATAAGGTTATTAGACATCGTAAAAGGGTGTCGCTTCCAAAACTCAAAGAAGGCAGTCCGCCTCTGGTGACGGTTCACCATTTGATCCGCGTCATCGGTAACTGATAGCAGTCGATTTGAGTTTGCGTTCGGCCTGCCGTTGGAGGATACCATGTGGCCAGACGACTTCGGCTATTTCGGAAGTTATCACGTATCGTACGCATCGAGTCTAATCCGTGTCAGCTTCCTGATTGAGTCTCAGATGAGCTATACCTGCCCACTTGTGCATCAAAATCTCCGACAACCACCACGATGTCTGGGCTTTTAGCTTGCCGCAGCAAGGCATTCAGGGCGTCTTTGACGGCGTCGGAGCTGCAGTCAGTTGGGGCGTAGGCAGACACGATAAACAGACATCTACCAGCTTACCGCTTGTGAGACTCCTTCGCAGACGCCAGACGAACCGCACAGAGGCGACTATCAACAGGTATCCAGCCAAGCAAGGATACTTCCGCCGGATGACTCAGGACGATACAAACCCCTGGATATTCCGCCGTCACAGCCTCTGGATCACCAGATGTGTGCAGCCGTAAGCGAGTGGAGTCTGACGGAGTGGTTAGCTCAATCACTGTGCTTGCATCTTGAATTAGAGTGCGGACGTTGAACGCGGCCAGATAGACTGGTGTCGAGGCTTGAAGATTGACTTGGGAATACCTGAGGATGTCGCCGCCGTGTGACGAGCAGATGCTGCATGCAAAATCGGTGCGTGACGAACGGAGTCATCAGTCCTAAGTGCTGGGCCTACAAGGAGAGAGGAAAGAAGTATGTGAAAGAGAAAGGAGGAAGACGTCAGCGGTAGCCTGTTTTCGCTTACCCGCCCTGCTGTATGCAGCAAGTAAGGCGACCCGGCTGATGGCACCACGCGACGGCCGATGTGGCATGAGTTTATTTGTGTATGTGTTATTCATGGTTGTACGTGGGCTGGGATACTGCCAGGGCGCCCACACCTAGACAGGAGGACGATTAGGGTCCTCAACCAAAGTCTTTAGCTCACAGCCTAATCGCAAGGCAGCGGTATTTGGCGGGAAATGCAAATGCATTGCTATTTCTACGGAACAGTTCGCCACATATTCCAACTCCAATCTGGGGGATCAGGAGGCTGTGTTCGTCAGAACTCTTGCCATGGACCAACCCTGTATGAGAGACTGTGAGTGTCGCGGGGACACCCTCCAGTATAGCTCAATGGGTCGCTGAGGTGCGCAAACCGTCACACCACGGTAAGGTCCAGTCTCTTCATGACATGGAGAGAATCCCTGTTTTTGTCTCCAGGAGCCGTCTCTGTTCAACTTCTTTCGTGGTAAGTTCCTGAGAACAGCAGCTGTGAACTACTTCACGGGACCCCACTTCGTGACACTGACTGTGTGGGCGCTGTGGTTCTCATTTGGGCTAGTTAGCTTACAGCTCAGGTTATGCCTATTTGGCTGCTTCGACTATTAGTTTCGTGAGTTTTTCTCCACAGAACTGTAGGGTTGAGGTGTCCGATTGACCACTGCATTCACCCAGTGTCACTCAGCACAGCTTTATTTGATTTGGTAGACAGCTTCACCTATCGAGTTACGGTTAGGATTGGGCGACATCGCTTAGAGCGCAGGTTTACTGACCAGAAAATCCTTGGTTCGACCCTGACCTCAGAATCTCGACTCCCTGTTTCTAGGCTTGGGCAACCTGGCAGTATCCCAGCCCTTGTGGCTCCTTCAGGTGGCATCTCAGCTAGGCACCGAAAGGGTCTTACAGATGAACGATTATCTATTATTATTACTATGTATCTTTAGGATCGGATACCCTTGGGAAGCGAGTAGCATCGTCATTTTCTCCTCGTGAAACACTTCTAAGCGAACTGTTGTCGCGTTCTATTCCCTTCCCTGGCGGTGTTCTGACCATTGTGACAGGTCGAAACTATGCATCAAGTGCTGTGACCAGACTGACGGTCTGTATGTTGCACGACTAGGAGTGGGTGGATGGTTGAAGGAATCCTGATCCTAAAATAACAACAGCTGAAGCATGACTCATCCGGTTGACCCACTGGTAGCTTTGTGGATATATTTCAGACACAGACCCATGAAACGTGTTACATCCTTTTGTGATGTATCAGTCAGACTCGTCAGTTCACCAGAATGGAGAAGACAAACAACTTCGAGGATGCTATACTGCAAACAAGTGGATTGTTTCGTGATGTGGAATTCAACTGAAACAGAACTTAAAAAGAGATAACAATCCAATAGGATATCAGTGAGAGGCTGAAATGTAGAAACAAGGCTTCCGTATACAAGACAATCGTCAGCAAAGTGGTTTCGTTTGTTTAAAGAGATAAAATCCAATAGGATATCAGTGAGAGGCTGAAATGTAGAAACAAGGCTTCCGTATACAAGACAATCGTCAGCAAAGTGGTTTCGTTTGTTTGGAGGTCGTCCTCCTAAAACCCCCTTGAAGCACTCGATCGTCGGAATGCTGATGATGTTTGAGCTGCACTGGTATGACGGGCCTTCGTACTCTACCGGTCCATCTTCTGGGTGCGCAACTTTTGGAAATTACTGGTTCATTCATCGGCTCTGGAGATTCAGGCTTCCGAGCCAATTGCAATGTATCGAGAAGAATCTCCAGTGGTAAAACAGGATCGAGTGTAACTGACACTGGAAGAGCTTGGCATGATGGACCTAGATAGAGGAGCCTAGTTTAACTCATGGACAACTTTTGCAGTACGGTGCACAATCACTCCTTGTGTCCACTTTCCCACTCCACGATAGTTTTTAGCTAGGACACACTGGCCAGGTATAAATAATCTACTTATAGCACCGTGATGTCTGTTGAACTGAACTTCCATATTCGTGTTTCTACCGGCTGGCGAATGTGATGTTGGGTGGATGACGTTAACGAGTAAACGGATTTTCTGGTTCGTAAGTACCTCCGCCGGGGACTTACCATTCGGAGCGTTAACATTTGATGTCAACCTGTAACTCAACAGAAATGCCTCGGTAATTTCCGGTGTGGTCCCCTCCCCTTTGAGTTTTAGGGGTGCGCGTTTCAAAGTCTCCACAAATCTTCTAACTTGGTCGTTTGATTGTGGAACGGTGGTGGTCGCACATGTTTTATGCTATTTCCTTGAGAGAAAGCAGAAAATTAAGCACTGTCGTTGTCGTAAACAATGATATTTGGAACTCCAAAGTTGTAGTTTTGAAATGGCAGCACAAGCAGTGACATGGTTCATGTTAAACACTGGCCATTTGCTATAAACATCTACTAGGATCGGATATTGTTGGCCGTTGATTGGTCCCGCAAAATTGACATGAAGTTGTGACCGTAAAGTTTCTGGAACAGGCCATGAACATAATTATGTTTTCCGAGGGGATCTTGCAGATTGTTGGCATTTCAGCTGCTTTTCAGGCTTGGGCGTAGTGGCAGTATCTTCCGTGGTTTCCCAACGCCCACCGTAGAGCCCTGCAATCGCGAATCCTTCGGATAAGTAGATAATACATTGGTCTTTTTACTTTCATTTGGTTTAAATTGATTCTGGAGTGACCCATCTCCGATAAATCCTTTCGAGTGGAATATGCAAGCATACATTGTCCTTACAAGACTAGGTCTCCTTCTTTGCCCACCTTTTTTAAGATTTGTCACTGTTTATTTTTCGTCTCATATCTCTTTGACAGGTGTATTCCTCGGCCGCTGGGACCGACAGACGTCGTAGAAATAGGTTGACGGAATTGCACTCTGGGGTTGGTGGACAAACCGACACGAGGCGCAACCGAGGTGATCTAACCTGCCCATCCAAATTTACTGCGCTACCTTCGACGCTTAACCGAGCTGCGCGAAATCGCGATGGCCAGCCGTGCACACGTGGCGGCAAGTGTGATATTTGGCTCTCTGAGTACAACCGGCAGTTTCCGGTCTATCCTACTTCGGTGTACACTCGTAGTGCTTCAGTTGCCGCTGGCCGATGTCGGCCACTCGGCGGACGACTCTCTTCAAGGAACGCACAACCAAGCCTGGTAGCTACTCACCCGGTACTTTTGAGCTCGCGTAAAGTTGGCGCGGTCGTCGGGAACAACCAGTCCAACATCTGTTCATGTAATGGATAATGAAGGGGTCATGTAGTTCTACCTATTTGTGACCTTAAGTGCGTTTGTGCAGAACACACTCCAACTAACAGACAGACGGGCTATATCGTATCGGTTATGCTTGGTTCGTCCTTCAAAATCCGGTGATTTTTAGCTTGTTTTTAAAAATTCCAACTAACTTTGATTTTATTCACCTTTATTCTTCCGATTCGTCGGTCTTCCACTAAACCGTAGTCATCCTTGCATTATGTACAGTAGCCTTTGTCGTATCCATGACAATCGGTGCTGTGACATCTTTTATTTTCGGTTCACTTCTGAATGGTATTCTTTCTAAAGTTGAAAAATACAGTATTGCTTACCTATTGGGTTGTGATTATGGTTGTCTTTTATACGTGTGATTCTGGGACTGTTTGTGTGGCGTGTTTTTTTCTGTTGTTGAATTATATTGCAGTAACCCCTCAAGAAAGGCCACTCTGGAAATTGAAACCAATAGTTTTCCATCGGTTGTGACCAACCTAAGGAGAAGTTGGACACCGTCTACTTTATTATTGTTCTCGAGGGATTGAAAAAAGTTAAAATCAAACTCTGAGCCGGGAATTCCTCATTTTGAATAGTCTTTCCTCGACCTCCAGTTTAGATGATTAAATATGAGAGATGAGGAAAAGGGACTGAGCACTTAGTTTGTCTAACCACCTCTCTGATACGGACTTGTGGCTGTGCATTGTACTTGCGATTTTCGGTGATTCTTCTATTTATGGCACCGCTGTTTTGCGTAATTTAATGCACATGGTGCGCATGGAACAGGAAGTCGAGTGAGAGACGGCATTGGCTACCCGTCAAGGAACAACTAGTTCGAATCACCAGTAGGACGACCTGAGTTTGTCGGTGCAGGAATTGCTGTGGTTCTGTGTTCAGCACGGAATGTATGTGTAAGAAGAGTTTGGGTGCGTCCGTTAATCATCCTTCTTTGCCTTGGTTGCGGTGTCACTCTCCCAGTCACATAGCCGCGACCGCCACTTCGAAATGCAGACAATCGTCCAAGTGGCGCAGGAAATAACAGTTGAGCGAAACAAATTGTGTTATTATGTTGGGTCAATGGGACTCACCAAGTTTCTAACTCACTGTTGTGGTTGTGTTGTGGTTTGATGGAAAATCGTGCAACTCTGTATCGGTCCCCTGGCTTCCTGCTCCACCCACTATGGTATATCAAAAGGCACGGTAGCTCTAGACAGCCCTTTATGGAGACAAAGGAAAACTATTACAACTGTATTTATAGGGTAGTCATAGGGTGTTCCACAAGGTCGTGCCAGAATCTCCGTGAGGGGGCGAGNCAAGGTGCTTGACTCGGATTGGCTGGCATTCTGACCAATCAGGGCATGCCTACGTCTGGCCCGTGTCCTGCACGTGACACATGCGTCCAAATGATGTGATGTTCGGTTATTAGGGACGGCTGGCCTCCGAGCACCTCCCCCTTGAGAAGGCTGTTCAGCCGACTGCTGCTTTGGACTCCACTGTGACGACTCATGGAGTTGCTGTCGCATTTCGGCCCGTCCCTCGGACTGCGAGCATGCTGATCTGGGATCTGGTACCCTCCACTTGGGAAGTATATCACGGCTGTCCGCTGTCCTATGCGACGTGGTCCCCTCACCGAACCGCAGTCTGTTGCCTGAAGTTGGTTCACTTGACGTGGCTGTATTGATGATCTTACGTGTGCCTCGCGTTTGACATAGTCGACCCTGCGTCCACCGTGGAGAGCATTCCCCATATTCTTGAATCAGTGGCTAGTTTCTGTGTGATTGTTGTGGCGCCCCTTCTGCTGACTCCCTTTCCTTGACTCTCCGGATAGCAGTAGAACGATCCGCCTGAACCTGTGCCTGTAAACTGAAGAGTTCAGACCGCGGGTGAAACGTTGCGGGCTGCTGGCAGGGTTCACCAAATTGGACTGAGGTGAGAGGGCTACCGGTGCCTGATGCTAGGAGATGAATAGCCGGTGCGTGGCGTATGTTCCATCCGGTCTCCGGTTTGGCTATAATTGTGGCGACCACAAAATCGTCAGGACGTAATGTCCTCGTGAACGTATCGGACCCATTTGCAGTTGTTTCGTTACAAACGGCACTGACGGGTTCATCCAACAGTTGAAGCTCATTAATTCAATCCAGGCCCAAGAGATCCAGGCCTGTATAGTTCGTGAGGTAGCAAGTACCATTGAGTTGAATCCCCTTGAACGTTACGGAACAGTTCGGCTTTCCGGCCAGTTTTAGGCTTCCACCAGATGCATTACAAACGGTGCACTTTGGGGGTTCCACTGGTGGCCTTCCAATTACGTTCCAGGTTCGTTTTGAAGTCAGAGTGAGGTCAAAATCTGTGTCCATTTGGAGTGTAACTCGTGTACCATTGATACATAATGTGACGAATTCCCATCGGCCAGGTGATTTCATCCTGAATGTGGCGGTCATGGCCCCTGCCTGCGTCCTTTTGTCGGGTCGATGTTTGCGCGAGCTCCTGAAGTTGTCTCTGCAGCACTCTTTGTGACCCTTTCGACTGTACTTACTGCACCTGTGGTTCCGGTAGGGATAGCGGCGTGAATAGTGCCATTCTTCACAAAACCAACGGGTTGTGGACGGTTTTCTTGGAGTTCGTTTTGAATTTGACCTTCTTTTTGGAAGTTACTTTGCATACCATATCATGCTGAGGGAATTTGGAATATCCAATCATAGCACCGTCAGTCTTGAGATTGATAAGATACTGGCACTCAGTGGTAAGTTTCTGAAGCGTCCACTCTGGATCCTGTTCAATTCTATTGAGTAGCCGGGTCCGAATATCTGCATCATGCGGCGATTGAAGATCAGCCACGAAGACGAATTGATCCTCGGTCATGGAGCTGGGCTGAAAGCACTCGCATTCTCTGTTGACAACACTGGCATAGATGATGAAATCCTCAGTATCCCTTTTGGTATTCTTGAGACACTGATAACGAATATTGAACAAGGAACTTTGCTAACCGAATACTTGGGTCAGAATCTTGTCAGCATCTGCGAAACCAAGGTCACGAGGGAGTTTGGGGAATTTGTGAACCGATCATGTTCAGCTGTCCCCAGTTTCCGCAGCAACGGTCGAACTTTCCATGCATCATCAGACTGAGCAAAGTCGGTTTGAAACACGTCTTCATACTTTTTGAACCAACTTTCGAAAGTTCGTCCAAACTCATCATCGAAATTGAATTCAGTAGTCGAGCTGGCAGCAACATCTGCGGAAGTACTGGCTGCTGGCGTCCGAATACGCAGTCTGTTGGTCAGTGATTCAGTGAGATTCAGTTATTCTTCTGTAAACTGACTTCGTTGCAGCTGCACTGGTTCTCGGAGCTGATTAAAGTCGATAGACATCATGGGTTCCCCTTCGCTAATTGTGATAACGGTGTTTCCCTCAGCTTAGTTATAGTCTAAATATGCCAAGCTAACGACTCCGTCAACGCACAACGTGTATTAATAGCCAAAACCAAGTGAAAATACATGTACAACGCGCTCTTTATAGAGTGTATGCGGCGGCAACCCTCTGGAAATGCTGATGCCTTCTGGGTGCGCAATTGGCAGCCGGTATTCGACAGCTACACGATCAGGATTGACTGTTGGGTCCAAACTTTCATCCAATCAGTGTTCGTCCCTATGCTGGACGGGCAAGTGGCCCGATCGTTTGGCCAATCTTGCACGGGATAGGCTTCATGGCCGCAGCAACGCCTAACTGCGAACAGTAAAGCCTTATCGATGCGGGATTCCGCCTAACTGTATAGGGCAATCTTTAAGGATGGGAATGTCTTTTTAGAGAGTGCTGTTTTTCTTCACCTTCGGGAACTTCTCTTCCCAAGTATCGACTGTGTCGATGCTTAATCTTGACTGCGCCGTGCGCTGACGGCCAAAATTCAGAAGAATAAACTTTTTTTTGAGGCTCCAGTACCACAACTGTAGTTATGTACTATAACGGCCACTAAAGTGGTAAGTGCCTACGATCATTCTGGCCTGGTTATGTTTGTGATGCTGTGTGGATCCAGTGTACACGCCTGTGGATGAGTAAAACTACTCGCAGCTTTACCACACATATCTTTCCCTGGTATTGTGTAGTACTCGTTAGACAATTATTGGACGACAAGCTGTGTCCGTACTTCAATTCACTTTTTTCTTCAGGGCAACGCCGGAGAGGTGTACCACCCGAGCGATTTTTTTATTTTGCGCTGCGAAGCGATAGTCTTGTTTGCTGTTTCGTCAACTACTGTCATTGCGCAGCGGAAACACCCTTTGTACGCTTGTTTGCGAGGTGCAATCAGGTGACAGTCTAGGACTACTAGGATATCCTAAATCCCAAGCCATACCGTAATCAATATTCATTTTGGGGTTCGTTTTTGGGGTTGTCTTTCGTACAATGTAGCTACTGAACAGCTGACTTAGTTTTTTTATGGCAAACTACCTTTTACACTTAGATGACTGTGTTTTCATCCCATCCTACCATTAAAGCGGTCACTATCGTTTGACACGAATGAACTCGACGAGGTGATAAACGAGACATCTTGTAGCTCGCTGGGTCGCCAAGCAATCTTTGAGAAGATTAGCCTGGGCAATAAGGGCTGGTTTCGTCGGGGATCACTTTTTCATTTTGTTTATTTAAGGAGAGGTGGGCCGGTAAGAGAGCTCAAAATTCTTACTTCTGCGCCACTGAAACATGCATACTGCTTACAAAGTCTCATCGTGTTCATTCCACTAATGCGGACGTTTGAACAAGAGTTAGCAATCTCTATCATTTGTGCACAACCTGAACCTCCTCCCACTCCTGCTTTTAGCGTACACGGCATCCATCCATAGCTAGCGAACTACTCAACTGTTTGTCACTTACCGCGAACGATTGGATCGATAATGGAGGTGTCACGCAGTCGGCGTCGCAAGGATGGAAAACGACACCGTTCCCCTAACAGTTCTGAGTCACGTTCCCGGTCGCGTTCTCCAATTTCCAGGCGGATGCATCGTCGTCGCTCGAGGTACGCACCCTGTCTGTGTATTGTCCACTGGTGTTTTACATTTGAAATCCTTTATGAGTGTTTTTCGACGGTACGTTTCATGCACATGAGGCATGATTTTCAGTTTACAACTTACAGGTTGAGGGGTATGTATAGAGTTGTAATTCCGTGGGTAGTTTCTATTCAGCCGGTGTCTGTATTCCGTCTTAAAAGTGATAGTACCGAAGATCAGAATTTTGGAGGGTTGCAACAGGATTACTAAGAGAGCTGAATTATCGATCGAACTGAATCGGAACGTGCAGGCACTATCGGGCACCTTTTTAATGCCTCATGGAAACATCATAGGAAGGGCTTCTACTGATGAGGAATTTTTTGGAACTCCACTACATCTGTGAACATCTTCTAAAGGTAGGATTATTAGTTGGTATTCGTTTTCAAGTAGTTCATCTACAGCAACCCATGTACTACATCGTGCTTATTCAATATTATCTGGATCACTCGACTTCCCACTATAAACTAATGTCCACTGGGTGTCAGGAAGGCATCAATATCTGACCCATTATGTTAAGCCTTAGGTCTTGACTGAAGGCTCAACACCACTGTGAGTTCTTTGTGAGTGATTTACTTTTTACGAGATGACTGCACTAACCTGTTTCTGAACCCTCGTTCTATTACCCGTACGGAGTAGCTAGATCCCATTAGGATTAGATTTCTTGACGCCACCTACTCCACGCTATTCATAAGCTGATATTGTTCCCCCATCTCTCACTTAGCTCCCGGGAACGTTTGCGTTCCGGTGATTCGTACACTCGTGACCGGTAAGCCATTTGAATCAAATGTATGTGCTCAAGTTTCGTTCACAGCGTACGTCACCACCACTACTACCACCACATGAACTACTCTGATCAATCGTCTTTTTATAACCACTCTGTTCTTTGTCCCCGTCTACACAACTCTCTGTATGATTGATGACCCAGAGCCGCGGGTCTAAGTAAGCCTACGAAGTGAGTTTTCCGTGTATTGAATGCATATTGTACATATGACTGCTCTTCATGGTAGCTAGTAACAAATATCACGTCCTATCATACTGTACTTTGTCAAAAACGCCAATTAACATCTCATTTGGGACTCACCCGCTTCCATGGTTTCTTTTGGATTGCTACCGTGGATTTTATTCCAGACCGTTTTCAATACACTCCATTACTAGCCTCACATCTTGAGGCTCATAAACTATATCGTACTGGGTAAGTTGTGGACCATTCACGGGCGGGGGTCACTTTATGTCTGACACTCGACATTTTTTGACAGCTATGCTGTTTGGCATATCAATTTAGTTTTCACGAGAGGCTCATGAGGTGGCCTTCGTACAGCTCATTCAGTTGAAGAATGTCATAAACGAGAGATTCAGCTGAGTATCTCGTGAAAACCAAATTGATATGCAAACGAGAGCATTTTTCAGAATCTGTTCAATTTGGGTTCAAATTGATTAAAACTTGGGGACTGCGCCTACCTGATGAGCTCTAATAGTGGCGAAACCGGTTGTGGGCTGTCGAAGAGTTTCCAATAGCCTTGCGAGTAGTTTCCTTCATGAAATCACCTTGACTTGTCTTTCGACCAACGTGCCTCGGTGGTTCAATGATGTTTCTGGATTGATTTCTGTGAGCAGCACCCAACGTAGATGCTGCGCGTGTGCCGTTACTTTTTTTAACGCTATTCTGCACTTTTTTGCGTGAATCTTGCTTCACGAAGCCCAGTTCGCATTATTTTTTGCATGCGAGGGATGGGTTTTGTTAGTTCATGTGTAGCACCTTGCCCATCCAGGGTTTCGATTCGCACGAATCACAGACGCGAGCCTCCTGTTTTCTCTGTATGCAGCCAAATCAATACCACTTGGTTGTGCAGCAGTTCTAAACCTAATTTGAGCACCCCACACCCGCCAATCGCTCTATGAGGACGTTCAATATAGACGGGTTCGCACGGTAATCTTGCAGTGTTCAGCTTTTTAGACATGCTGAATTAAGCCTGTAATGCGCAGCTACCTACTCCCCCCCAATCATCGGTGAACGAAACTGCGGCAGCTACAACCACTGTACGACGGGCACGCGTTTATTACAGCTGACAATGATGATGATGATGATGAATGATTGTGGGACCAACAGGATAAAAGCCTCAGCGGCACCTGCACTTTTGAGTAAATCTGACACAAAACCAGCTATTCAATACATGGGACCCAGTTACCACCTCACACTAGGTTGTTAGGTGAGTCAGATAGAATGCGCACTGAATCAGCCTGAGATATTTGCACAACAGTCTCCCTTCTCCTTCTGGATCGCTGTTTCAGAGGTAGCGTTTTCTGGCCGCAATTCAGTACAAAAATCACTACTCATAGCATTCGGAGTCATGGCATCGGTGCTGGTCAATAACTGCAGTCATAATTGTTGGACGCGTGTGTGGCGCGCATCTTTTTTACTTACACTAAGAATGCTTATCACGTCAAACTGTGTGTGTATGCATAATACGCCTTGCTTTCTTGGTAGCAGACGAATAGCCTTGAGTGGATGATTGGTCTCGTGCTACCGGCAGTGACTGTCAAGTGACCACAAGAATATCTGGTCGGCCATCCAACTTGGTTGATATATATAATTCGTTTCGTGATCGTAAGCACTGGATCCTGTAGCAATTTTTCTAATCCCAGGAATGTCTACGCTCTCAGAGCTTCGATCGGCCTCTCCTCTAAGGGCGGGTATTTATCACATCTATCGACATCGACGCCGCTTTTATTTTTACGTTAGATTCCGGTTTCAACACAGGTATGTTTAGACGAAGCCGCTAGATAGTTATCCAATTAGATTCGAGGCGATTCGACCAATCGCGCGACAAGTTCCGTGATTGGAGCATGGCAATCACAGTCAGATCAAATCGTTCTGTGCGTAGTTACTCGGTTTTTGAAAAGTCGGAGTCCGTTTCATTCGGGGAGAGTAGTAAGAAGCTCCAAATTCCTGGCGTTTTGGGAAAAAATCGACGGGGTGGAAAACACTGTTTTCATGGAGGAGTTTTGTACCATTGGCTGAACATGAATAGGCAAGTTTTAATCCTGTATAGATATATCTTGAACAAAATTTATCGTTATCGAAACGTTGCTTGTCCGGCGGAACAGACCGAACCAGGTTAATATCTTCACGGAGAGGCTTAATCATTAAAATGCTCATCACGTAGTAAAATGCAGGTGGCGGTTGGTGCTTCTATCGGGGGAGGAATGTACCAGAAACAATACTTACCTAGACCGCTTCTTGGAAATTTTTTTATAACACGTATAACACGCCGCGGAATGACACCATCTCCCGGGGAAGGCCCATCCGAAATTGTGCTACCTCCATGCAACGTTTGCCAAGATTTCTCTCGGGCTAGGAGATTGCTTTACAATTTTGGACGTTGTGATTATAGATAGCTGATTTATTCTATCCAGCCAGCCAGTTTGAGTCCTACCCCTGTTAGGCTTGTGGACTTTTGTGTCTGGAACCGCCCTCGTGCTCGAGAGCTTTCGCATTATTATTTAGAACTACAGCGATATTTCAACAGAACAGGAATGGTACGTCAGTGTGTGTTCAACATGCTTGTTGTTCCGTTTTGATGGATCGGCAAGCTCCGCTCTTCCAAGTTATTATATTGTTACCGGTCTCACCTTTTGTCACCTTAGCTGGATCTGGTTTCGATGTGGACACAACCCAACCTCAATCTCCTATCTTCTGTTGAATTTGAGTTCATACTATCACGGAGGCAGATCGGCCTTGTTAAAATTAGAACAGTGATTAAAGTTGACCCCCAACTTCCTTGATAGGCCTGGAGCACAGTTTGTTGGAGAAATTAAAGTCTGCAGCCGAAAGCAGAAAAGCCCGAAGTTGTTATCCGCGTGCGAGTGCGTTGTTGAAGATTGGGGCCAGTACGTGAGATGTGGTGCGCAGAAAATTTTCCTACAAGTTTCATAAGGATATCCCAATTCACCATGGACCTGAGCGTCCCTTCTCTGTCATCCAGAAATCATGAGGTCTACTCTCTTGGACTAAAAAAGAGAAATTTGACAAAAATCGAGTTGTTTCTAGTGTCATAGGAAATCCGTACACGCTTTTTCGTGTTTGATGCGTAACTACTTGTTACGCCTATAATCGAGTTAACGGAAGCATGTCATACATACGTAACTATTTCGAAGAACTCGGCGATATTCCAGCCAGCGAACCAGTGCCGGAATAGATGTACATTTCTGGCGGACCCAGTTAGTAGCTAAATCCACACAATGGTGTCTCGTATGACGAATACAAAGCCCTAACCTTGTTTTAGCGGAGCCATAATGTACATTGCTTCATCCGCTCACGTGGCACATTGAGCAGCAAAAGTTTGTGCCATCCAGTCGGATTGTGGGCTTTGATGGCTTTACGAGATCCGGTGTTTATGTGCCTTGGTGATCTGGTACTTTCAGTCGCCCTGTGTTATTGGTTCAAAAATTCTAGAACTGAACTTCTAATGCTTTTCCGGTTACACCTTGTGCAAGCATCTGCGTGCTGATTTCACAGACATGCTAGCTGTGTTTCTTTGCAGGACGTGATTATACTTTATCTCCATTTGTGTGCTAGCGCTGGTACCCTAAGTCATACGAATAGGACAACTATCTTTTGGGCGTGTCCGCAGTGACTGAGTTTAGAGTTAACACCTCCAATATTAGGATACATCCCTGACTCTTGTCGCTTACTGGCGAACACATTTGTCAGCTGGAGATTCTCGAGCAGATCACGTGCTCTGTAGTATCCCTGATCCAGTTTGGTAGCATGACTTTGTATGTTGAAAGTGCAGTACGTATTCCGTAAAGGCCTAACCTTCCCGCGAACGACCCTATAGCCTACATTGAGTTTTTCTGCACAGTGTGTGACCGCTACAAAACGCTTTTGTGCGGACAGCAAATGCACATCCCGTGGTCCTAGCTGACCAGCAATCGTTTGTGGATGTAGCGACCTCAACTTGCTCACCTGCTGGAAGGAAATTAGAAGGAAGAAAATAGACGATCAGAAAAAGTAACATTTATCATTTCAGTCCCCAGTGAGGGTCATCAGGTCATTTGAGTGTCAAGTCTTGACCAAGAAATAACTTCCCACTGCTGGCGGCCATCTTACTGCACATCTTGCTCGGTGTTCTGTTGGATCGATGTTAGCAGCGATGATGGCATGAACCAGGTTCGTTCGTGTCTCGGCGCAGAGCAAGAGCACTGGACCTTCGTGTCATGGTACAACATACGGGATTGATTGCTAAGCGATCATTTTACCAGTCCGTTTGTGAAGTGGGCACATGAGCTCTGTTCCATACTGGGGAAGCATGCTTAGCTGTGTGGTTTGTAAACAACGACTGAAGGGGTTCATAGTAATTGGCTGTCGGAAGACTACGTCCAGATTATTTCGCATAGGGAGACCACCGGCAAAGCTTATTCCATCCGTTTGTCACTACCACGTGCTATTCAGTCGGCGTAGTGTAGCAGGCCTGGCTGCATAGGCGGGTGTGAAGTGTCAGCGGGCTGATAAAGCCGGTGTAGTTGGGCCAATCCTGGTGGCGACGTCGTGATATATATGAATGAAATCGTCCACCTTGAGGTACGGCGTCAAGTAACCCAGTGGAGCTTCGATGAAAACAGCCTACATAGCTTGCGTTGTCCCCACGCAAGATCAGAGCTCCTGGATATTCCCCACTCTCCTTTCATCGTACGCTATCATCTGAGAAGCCTTATGTCGTCTCTTATCCCAAGGATTTGGGTCATCCAGCAAACTTGAACCAAAGAGCAAACCACTGACAAAAGGCTGTCACCCGTATTTAAGCCATTTTGCCTGTACCTTTCACAGGTACTGTGTTGACATTTGGTTCTGCCTTTGTGATTTCGTTTCCGTGTAATGCAAAAAGTCGATTCACTACACACGTGTCCCAAACGATATCTCTGCAACCTTCGTCAGTTCTGGTTTTTCGAGTGTGATTCCCATCAAAGCCTAGGTGCGATGGTAACAGCATTCGCTCCCCAGGATTTCAAATTCAGCAACCTTATGAGTAGCGCGTTAAGTCAAGGTGTATCTTTTTCTTGCGATACAAGGAAAAGTGAGATCGATGTTTTTTGTTTTCCCTTTTGTGGGCCACTGAATCTTTTGCTGGCTAAGAGGCAATTTTAAACTGAACACGGTTCTCAAAAGGATAGATTAATCGTTCGATGTCTAATGCCAGAAAGACACCGATAAATGGTTTTGACAGTTGTGAGTTCTTATAATCAATCTGTGTTGGTTGATAATCAATCTCGTTCTCACCGATAGTTTCTTTTATGAAACCAGAACTACTGTTACGATTGCCTGATTTGCACAGGATGTTCCTACTTATAAGGAATAATGCCACACGATTAGCTATGAAGATTATCCAAACAAGATCAATGTGCGTTTACGTTATATGCTTCGCATTCGGGAGTATTTTCACACATGCTTTTGCCCATTATTTCCGCACAATATATCCATCAGGAAAAGGTAAGCCCTCAGTACTGACTAATAAATTTGCCAAAAGTTAACGGTTGTTCTTTAAACAATACTACTGACAATCACTTAGTGCTATTTATGCCTGTCTTTTCTTCATAATAGAGATTTAACCGCTCAATACGGCAGTTCTGCTCGTGACCGTTCCTTATCTCCTGTGCGCGCTACTTCCCCGTTCCCTTCGGCTGCGCACATGGATTCGATGACGAGATTGCGTCAGCCGGAGATCCAATCCTCCGTGTACTATGTACCCGATTTTCAAAACGAATCCGGTCGTTTCTCGTCCTCTCACGTCAATCCGCCACCAATCACACTCACAGAGCGGTTTGCTCGTCTGACAGCCTCAGGCACGACTGTCTACAATAAGCGATATCCTGGAAAACTTCTGGACACTAGACGTATACCTCATCTGATTATAACCAATAATTCGCAGCTCCCACCCGCCACCCTTCTCCGACAGGCTAAAGCAATTTCCATCGTGATTGAGCGGAAGATTCCACCAGGTTTGTGCTCTAGTATTCTTTTTTTTAAAAAGCCTGCGCTTACTCCTTTCAGTGATCCACCCATTCGTAATTCATGTTGATTTCTACTAGGTCGAAAACGTACGGCCGATGTTGATACTTCTCTGGACACGTTATTCATACCCCGGCGTTCGACGGAAGGTCAGAAGCCGGTTTTCGATCGTCCAGAGGTGAGTGTTTCTGGATCTGGTCGCACACTTTTGTTTCAAACACTGGACAGTCCACAGGTATTTAGTAGCTTGTTTACTGGGGTGTCGTTTAGATGCTGGAGATTTCAGGTCCCCTTACGTAGTTTGACCCAATTTGTATCATACGCCAACATTTACCATGCGCTGAATATGGCACTTCAGTGTCAGGAGGACTCGCCCGTTTAGGGTAGGGAAAATCAACCAACTATAGTTAGCACACCTCCCACTAACATAAAAACACCTAAGTAACATCAGTAAGATCAGTACAGCTCAGTGTTTAAGTCACAGAATTACTGGCGGGGAAGTCCGCGGTTCGAACCGAACCTCAACGTCTTGACGAAGAACCGATATCTTACAACAACTATGCGAAACAGCTTACAACTATGATTGTGAAATCACATGCCTTCGTACCGGATAGTCCGTGGTTCGAACACGACCTCGGCCTCTCGACTTCTCCTGTCTAGGCTTGGGCAACCTGGCAGTATCCCACCCCTCATGCTTCCTCCGGGTAGCATGGCAGCTAGGCACCGGAAGGGGGCTGAACGAGTATTTGTGGTTCCTATTCACACGTTTGTTCAAACCTCTTACAATTCTCCATGTGCACTCCTTAGCGCCACCAAGTAATTTGGCCCTTCTCTGTGTTTGTTCGTTGTAGATTCGTTTTTATCGTGTCTCTTCGGACGAGTCGCTAATTAGTGAGCGCCTACTCGATTGTATCAACTCTTCGTCCTCCAAGTGAGTCGTTTCGGAATTAAACTCTTTTCGTAGGTCCAGATGAAAAATGTCTTTCAGTCGTATGACTTGAGGTTGTGGTCAGGGAGAAGTTGCAACGGGACCGAGAGATGGCTAATGTTCCGTTTGTCTTACGCTACTGTCAACCGTCAGTCGATATAACGAACCCAGGGGCTCGGTACTTTTGAGCTTCAGGTATTGGTTACCGCAAACATATCCAATCTTGCATGAGTTGCGAGAGATGCTAATCAACTCTTCTGCCGTGCGTTTTTTGATAGCTGGTTACCTATAAGAGATGGAAAATGCAACCAATCTGTACGGTGACTACTACCTAAAGTCTTCGTTTTTCACATATCTCTACACTTGTCGCTTTTGACCAAATTTACTGTTGGCGGAACACACTCATTAGCGTAGCAATTTGGTTTTAATGGTAAATTGTTAGTTGTTTCGTTTTTGGCGCATTTTATCGGCCTGCTGCCTTCCTGCCATGAACGTCGTCCATCTATGTAGATGTTAGCTTGTGTACGCATATCAAACTGAACGGTTATCCTACTGGATGCGGAAGTGGAGTGCTCACTTTTCAGTACGACCTCGAAAAAGCTAAGTGAAATTCTCTTTTCGATCAAGGAAATATGTTCGGGAGTTTGCGACGGGGACGTTCCCTCATGTAAGGGTGGCGAATAAGAACCGTATCGCATGCCTTATGAATAGAGACGATAAAATTCCACTTGTATCCGATCACTTCTCAACAACCTCCTTGAGGATGGGATGAAATTTTCCACTTCGTTTGAAGCGAATGCTCCACATGTACAACAGTCTTGCTCACATTACTGTGTCTACTTGGTATTCATGAGCCTTCTTTATCTAGGTCACAAAAAGATTTAGTGTTTCCTCATCAAACCGAACTTAGATTGGAACCACCAAAAACAAAGCCATATTTACATGCAGCAATAAAAATAATGGTATGTATTCGGCACGCAAGAAATATCGGATTACGGTGTGCTGCTTAGTTTTCTACTTTAATCTTTATTCCAACTGTGAATTCTTCAACAGGCTGATGAGTTGTAGCCATCCAAAACGAAGTTATTGATTTAAGCAAGTCAGCTTATATCAGTTCAATAGTACGGCGGTTAGGCATACGAGCCTTGTTTGTCACATAAACCATAATACTCCACTCTTAAATCTGGGCGGACAATAGAGGATATTTCAAGTGTGGTATCTCTTTGTGGATTAAAACAGCTATGTAGGGAAGGATTTGCTTTCTCGTGGAAGTGTTGCGACGAAAAAAATCGGTGTTTCCAAAACTGTCTTCTGGATGAATGTTTTTTCTTGAAAGACTTTCTCAAAGACTGGCTATTGTCGAGAAACGTGGTCATCAGATAAAGTAAAGTGGGATTAAGTAAAGCGGAAGGCCTAGATGTGTGATTTTTGCTTCAAACATTGTAGAAAAGCGAACCTGTATGCGTGTAGATGTTTCTGCTTTTGCACCTCAACCCACTCTTCCACTTGTGAGTATGCAGTAAACCTAGTCGCTTCTTTCAGTTTTCCGATCATAGATAGGCAAGATGACCATGAGCGTGTGACCAGATTTGATTTCGTCATTAAATTCGGGGCTACTATGCAGTCAAATAAGATCTCCGAGAACAAGTTCGCCTAGATAGTCCATCAATTAACGAATCGGGTCGTACAACTAAACGTCCTGCCAAGTGAATCCGAATGATGAGTACAGTTCGTCAGTGATGAGTCATTTCCTAGGACGTTCGAAATATAGAATAACCAGGTAGCCAAATTTCAACAAGTCAGATGAAGTGGTCGAACTCATGTTGATTACATGCCGGAAAACCTTGCTGATATACCTTGAGACACCTGAAGCGGATAAGGCGCAGAGTATTTCACAGGCCGGTTGATTGTTCGCTCGAGTAATGGAAAGGCCGTTCGAACGGTCTCCGTGATCACGTCGTTCTATGTTAGCAGATCACTTTGAGACGTTGACTGATCGCGACCCGATCTGACTTTGGGCTCCAGGTTTATGAGCTGCACTGGCTCGCCAACACGAACTGTCTGTCAGCTTGAGGTGGTCTAATGAACCGTCGTAGTGGTTCTTGTGGAAGAAGAGGCCGACGAATTCGACCTATCGATGTTAATGGATTGTAGAGTCTATACGATGCATGCCCATGTCATTTTGATCAAGGCCCATTATTAATCTACTGCATGAGGATATCGCGAACCCAGCCGGGCTATCGGCGTGAGAGCGTGGCCGGTCTTACTATAGAAGGGAAAGTCAGTGTTACAAGACTGTAGATGAAATGCTAATATAGCTTTTTTGCGCATACTGTAGGCTTTATCCATTCGGCTGTCGTATTTCGGGTGTCATGGCACTGAAAGTGTCACGTGGAAATCTTTTATCTTTATTTTATCACACTGATGTTGCGCAGTGAATGATTGATTGATTAGTAGCTGGGGTTTGATAACTCGCTCTGTCCACTGCTCTATTGTCCTTCTCTAGGAAAATTGAGTACGTCCTCTGTTGTCGAGTGTGATCTATTTTGCGTTGCTTATTAATACCTCTGCTGCTCCACTAACCTATGATTTCTTGCCAGTTCCACTTCAGCCACTCGGCGTGGTTGATATGCACTATAGCAGCATACCTTTCAGTTGGCTACCATTTCTACATTAACTTGAGGTTTACTGCTTTCCTCTGATATGTCCTTCACATTTGTAGATATTGCTACCATACTTTCAGTCACTCTGCTTCCATATATATATATATATATATATATATATATATATATATATATATATATATATATATATATATATATATATATATATATATATATATATATATATATATATATATATATATATATATATATATATATATATATATATATATATATATATATATATATATATATATATATATATATATATATATATATATATATATATATATATATATATATATATATATATATATATATATATATATATATATATATATATATATATATATATATATATATATATATATATATATATATATATATATATATATATATATATATATATATATATATATATATATATATATATATATATATATATATATATATATATATATATATATATATATATATATATATATATATATATATATATATATATATATATATATATATATATATATATATATATATATATATATATATATATATATATATATATATATATATATATATATATATATATATATATGCATTGCTTTAATCTACAATGCATCTATTTCTGAATGAAGTTGAATGATAAGATGAGTTGTTTATTGCTAGACGGAATTCCGGTCTGATACCATATACCGCTCGCAGTTAGGCGTTGCTACGGCCAAGAAGGGCGCTGGGTATTCGCACAATGGAACCTATGATGTGTCCCTGATGGACTAAATCAATCGATCAATTGAGTTAAGAGTACCAGTCCAAACTTTTGAGCCCAATTTAGGCATCTCGGGGTCTCAGCGATGCTGATAAATTACTCCAACAGGCTTTTCCGCCAGAGGTATGATTGCTCTAGTGGATAATAATGAAATGTGGTGTGCCGCAAAAATATGAACGTAGATTAGGATGATTTTTGGTTTGAGCACATATGCAACAAAATGCAACATTTTAGCGCAAAAGGTTTTACTCTGCTCGTGAAGGTTTTGCAGCTAAGAGCATTGTGCACTAATGGGCACCGCCAAGAAGTCTATCGCGCACACTATTGGCCAAAAGATCGGACTGTTTGCCAGCCCAACATCAAGGCGAGCTCTGATTGGCCGAAAGTGTGCACCCACCGCCAACCATGATCTTCTGAATGAAGTTGAATGATAAGATGAGTTGTTTATTGCTAGACGGAATTCCGGTCTGATACCATATACCGCTCGCAGTTAGGCGTTGCTACGGCCAAGAAGGGCGCTGGGTATTCGCACAATGGAACCTATGATGTGTCCCTGATGGACTAAATCAATCGATCAATTGAGTTAAGAGTACCAGTCCAAACTTTTGAGCCCAATTTAGGCATCTCGGGGTCTCAGCGATGCTGATAAATTACTCCAACAGGCTTTTCCGCCAGAGGTATGATTGCTCTAGTGGATAATAATGAAATGTGGTGTGCCGCAAAAATATGAACGTAGATTAGGATGATTTTTGGTTTGAGCACATATGCAACAAAATGCAACATTTTAGCGCAAAAGGTTTTACTCTGCTCGTGAAGGTTTTGCAGCTAAGAGCATTGTGCACTAATGGGCACCGCCAAGAAGTCTATCGCGCACACTATTGGCCAAAAGATCGGACTGTTTGCCAGCCCAACATCAAGGCGAGCTCTGATTGGCCGAAAGTGTGCACCCACCGCCAACCATGATCCAGTATCTTCCGCTTGCCAATGGCGCATCCAGAAGGCGTCAGAATTTTCAGAATGCTGTCGCCGCACACACTTTATATACGGGGTTCTGTGCATGTTTTTGACCTGGTTTCGGATGTTAATACACGTTATGCACCTTTGGTGGTTGTTTCGACGGAAACGCTAGCTTGGAATGTTCAGACCGAGTACTAAGCTTGTCTCCTATCAAATTTGAGGGTGTGTTTTGGTACTGAAGGTACACCTCTCTCTTCAAAATCCTCCCCCATTCCGAAACATTCAATCAGGCGAGAGAAAAAATCCAGAATCAAACAAGTCTTTGTCTTCTAGTCCTCATTTCGAATCATGAGGCGTCTCTGGTACACAATACAGCGCCAGCGTCTATTTGTTTCAATCACTTTGGGACATCTGCGGTTTAGTCCATTCATTTCTCTTAGCTGAACTGTCCACCAGTAGAACTGTTCCAGCTAGTCATCACTAATCCACCACGCATTTCCTTATGGTGATGTTTCATGAACAAGGATGTTCATTTGACGAATCATTACCAACTGCATTTCTTTGAATCAGTCATCGTCCTCCAGGCTTTCGAGACATCGCGCCCTTTTCACTCGATGTCTTGTGTTTCTAAACGGGCGCCATGCCGGACTGTGGTCAACACCGAACACATTTATGCTTTTTCGATCGTTCTCTCTTGCTGCGTTTGCACCTCTAACAGGACACAATCAATCAGAATGGATATCAGTCAGTCCACTGTCGTTGCACACCTGGCCCTTTACTACACACTACTGTTGGATTTTCATGTCCTAACTTGTTACACCTGAGTTGAACTTCCTACTTTTCATTTCACTATATTAGAAAGCAGGAGAGCAGACTACAGGAGCGAGACTTGTACGATCATGTTGCTACGTTCCCATGTGACAGCTGAAATAGATTGCTCAGGATCAGCGTCCCTCTGCAGCAATGCTTTTGCTGTTAACTACTGGAGGGTTTGCTTACAAGGGGGCCGCACTCTTTAAAGCCATGGCAATCGCAGGATTTTTTTTATAGAACCGGGAACGTTCTGGCTACTTTTTGACACCATTATCACTTCAACCCATTTTTTCCATCGATGTTCCGTTGTATGTAAACGAAGAACTACTTCAAGTTCGTGAGATGTTCGATAGATTTTAAACTCACACTGCCTAACCTCCTTATGGCCATCTTCGAAACGCTCAAATTGGCAATCTACCGAATGCTGTGCCCTTTATGTTAGATGTGCTGTTCTGTATTCCAGTATTGCTGTCACGTAGCGTTTCTAAGATGTTACTCGACTGCCACTGTGTTCGAATGCATCCATCATCAGCATGAACAACAATTCATTATTTTTTTAATTTTTACTCTAACTTAGACATGATTCCAAACGCCACCCGACTTCGAGTCAGTACCACGACGTTGTGGTAATTGGTGCAGGCCGGTTTTATGGAAGTCGTGTAGAGCAGTCCGGTGCTGGTCCACGAAATGGTAAGTCACCGATCACTTCTATGTTATGCTTTCGGGCGCTGCTGAATGCTTTGGCTGGGTCATCGTTAAAGCCCAGTTATTGGGATGTCACATTTTCTTGACTACCATTCGATTAACATTTATAATACACTTAATCACATGACGTAGCGGGTTGACACTCTGTTTTCCCTGTGGAAACTTTGTCTTTGAACGATGAAGATTCTTCAAGGAAGTTCAGAGCTGGTGCATGCAGAGGCGACTTTTGATGCACCTTGTGTCCTTGGAATTACGCGACCAGTATTCACATGCAGGCCGCAGACCATACGAAACGGTGATTGCTAGTAGCCGGAATGTATCTTGCATCCAAGTGTCGCTACCAACTGCGCCCGCATGGTTCCATGGGGTTTGCCCGAAATACAACCAAAATGTTTATTCGATTACGTGTGGTCAAAGTGTATCACGGTAGATGCGCTCCAGTTAATTTCAGGTGAATGTTTTGCTTCATGTACAGTTAGTAATAGTGTCTTCGAGAAGAAGAATTTCGTCGCTGTATTCTTCCCGGAAGCTTTTGTGTGGACCGCTGAGAGATTAGCCTTGGGAGGATGACTGCATCGTCCACGAACCTTTTTAGGCCTGAAAGTCAGCTTTTATCTTCATGATTGGTATTTTTTTCACGTCAATGATGAACAAACAAGTTTTTTTTCTGTTTTCATCTGTAATATCCCCAAATATACCGCAGTCAGTTATGTATGCACTATACGGTTGATGCAGTTGTTGACATTCATCTGACTTCCCCGTTGTATTTTTCGTTTCATCTGTCCACGTTTTCGTCTTGCGTGTTTTAGTCCATCCATTGGACCCGTTGGATACACCAAGAAACTCGTCATATTTTCTGGTATGTTTTGCGTGCCCATTCATTCCTCTTGAAAGGAGTTTTGTGTATGCGATGCCACTTCCCTAATACCGTCTAGAATCAATCAGGTCATATTGGAAGGCGTTTTTTAAATTAGGATTGAGGCGAACGGCCTGACGCTTGCGACTGTCATGCCATCAATCGTATTCCAAATTCGTTACAAGGAGACCTGTTAGACAGAGCGTTGTGCCTTACCTTAGTAATGTGGACGTCTTTACTGACCGTGAAATGATGAGATTATAAACAATTCCTTCCATCGGGAACTCATTCCGGTCAGATAATCCGGTAATGGGTACTGTGCCCCTACTCACAGGCCATGAACTACGCAGGCGTTAACAACTTTGACTCTGAAGTAAGTGTTCTTTCTGTTATGAGTTCCCAACACCGAAGGCGGTTCTGCCTGGTTTAGAAATCCAAATATCAGGGCTGATCTTCGCTTTTGTTCACCTACCTCTCCAGTGGAGGTTATTTGCTCGGAACACCTCATTCCCCGTTCTGCTACTCACCTGCCGACTACGATCACTTGCTAATGCTCGCTATCGAGGCGTTTAGGTAATATTTCCGGGCTAGGAACCAACAAACAATGCCGTCGGGTACCTGATTTCACTCATTGTTCGCAATTTGTATGTATTATTTTTGCTTCAGTTTGAAGATTAATTTTGTGGGAGCCTATTCCCACATTTCCGCGTTCGCCAACGTCGGATCCCAACAAGACTAATGACTATCACTGTTCTCAGTCTTTTCGTACTCTTCTACTTATTTGTCCTGTAGAAAGAACGGCGTTTTCATATTTCACTATTTAATGCGTACAAAAGCCAGTACCCAGGAGATGACACAAATGAAGGACAGGGATAAAACATTTATTTTTCTGCACCATTCGTAGCCAATGCCACTGAGCTTTCCGGACAACACCAAAATGTAGTGTCTGTTTAAAGCCATACGAGCGGTTCGCCAGCGGTTCTGACAGTCCTTGACTATCAACCCATTATGCTCTTGTGACAGTTCGTGGCAGGTTGGCTGGTCCGGAAAACTATAACTCCCTTATTGTGGTCTTGTTCACCGACATTTGAATTCTTTTTTGTATGATTGTTTCTGGAACTTCGTTCCAAGTCTGCGTCCAATCAACATTTGTTTGACTAAGACTTCTAGTACACACTTTTACGTTGGTGCTTCCTAACTAGGCAACGATTTTCACTTTAGTTTCCTCCGTTTCACTCGTTTTTTTCCGAAAATAGCATGATGTTCGTGGCGAGTTGGATTTGACCAGTCGTCGAAGTTGGCGAACACAGTTTGCGAGCCAAGCTGGTAAGCATTTTCCCTCATTTGCTTTTCGGCTCCACGTCATGTGATCAGTGATTCTTGTTTATTTTGATTTTTACAACGACAAAAACAGTAAATGCTTTATCTATTTCTCAAAATCTTAACAACCTACCGTCCTGCGAAGTGCAGTACTAAGACCTTTCCCCAGTTGTGCCCTATACGTATAGGCAACGGCGTTTCCGGACGTCAACTTGTTCAATCTTTGTTTGACTATACGCTACCCTGCCACATCTGTTAGAATATGATTATGTATTCGACTTTTCAGCTGCCTTGGAAAAGCTTGCCAGTACGTTTCAATTGTAGAGTAGTTTCTATCTTTAGAAAGTCGATCGAGTGTTTTTTACTGGAGGAGGTCCCAAACCGTTGGATTTCAGTTTGTCTGGTTTTGTGCGCCCTTTAACCTACTGTGACCATATCGAACATATTACTTCTCCGTGTCTGATAATGTCATGCATTTGGGTGTCGCTCGGTCTGAGAAAATCGAAATTTCCCAAATAAACTGAAACTATGCCTGAGCAGCTTGCTGATGTCCCTACTAACAGATCCGCTTCGTCGTCAAGCGCTTTTTTATCCGGTCCGTTGTTCCACTCATTCTTTCATTATCATTAATTGTAGCCAAGGTTTTACATTATTAGAACCCTAGAGGGTCGTCTTAGTTGATGATAATCTACAGAGCCCGGTTATCTTGTGTTGTACTAGCATTCCTCCCTGATTGTTTTGCTTATTGTGTGCGTATAACCCTGTGACTCCAGATGGTGGTTCTGTACATTTCTCACCTCGCCTAGTCGGTATGTTATGCTGTGATGTCGTGTTTACTCTAGCGCTAACTTGTTACTGATGTTCACTCTATGTTTCGTGCTCCAAAACATCCGTAGGAATTCGACTAGACTCTCACGTTCAAGGATCCTTCCAACATGTACTACACTACCAAATATATTTTCCTGTTATCCTCTTTCAGGTGGTTACCGACGTGAGTATCGAGATCGACGTTCGCCTGGATCTCCTGAGCGACCGAATTCTCCACGTGGTTTCTCACCACGTCGCAACTATCGAGGCATGGATAGTGGACGCTGGCAGCATGATAAATTTGAGGAATTGGAGCGTCAAGAAGCTCCGTCTCAGTCCAAGGAGCCATCAAAGGCAGTACCGAAACCTGTACCTGCTCCGAAGCCGATTCTATGGTCAACGATTGGTAAAGAGATCAACACAGTTACCAGAATCAATAGCAATGAAGAAGGACACTTGTCCAACTCGTTTGAAGACGGCTCTCCGCGGTCAGTTCGGAGTAGTCAATCGAGCAAAACAGCCGGTGTGAACCGTCGTGGTGAAACAGAGAAGGGCGTTGCTAGAAATGATGACTCTGAGGACGTACGAATCGATATGGAACCTGTGCTGGATGAAACGATAGACGACAGTTGAAGAACGAAGATAACAGTTGACGTTGCTTCGTTTAACACTGCCTTTGGCAAACTCTATTTGTACAGCGTTTCTGTTGTCTGACCGCTGGCATTTTTTGCAAACATCTCGTTTCAATTGGGTTGTTAAATGCACGTTTCTACTTACAAATGCGAATTTCTGAGTGTGAATACCGGACACCACCAACAATCAGCCTAACAGATTGAACAATTCAACTGCTAATCAGCATCCAGCTTTGCGTGATACCTGTACGTAGGCGAATAGTGTTACAAGCGTTCAACGAGCTATGAATTGGTGCTCGTCAGTTAGGCAAGGTTCTTATGGTAGCGAAGCATCAGTGTTCAACACTGATGCTTTGCTGTCAATGGTGATGATGATGATCCGATTGACCAGTTAGGTTAACGTAACCAGCTACTGTGTAATGATGTCCCCGAAGCTACTGTTTTTCAAGTGATTCGGGTTTTGGGTTTCACAGTGGCATCTTCCGTACCATCACTGACAGTGAACAACCTGCCACAAAAGTTAACAGAATTAAGGTGGCCATGGAAGCACTCGTCATTCTCACAAAGGATTGCATTTACTTGCTGGTCAATTAACGTCCTCATTCAAGAATTTCCGTTTCGACTGGCAACAGCATCCAGAGGTAATAATGCAAATGATAGTTTGTTCCAGACGATGGTCTGTCGGAGGCGTCAGTGGTCGATGGAGGGATGACAGTGTACAACGGAGTATTGCATGTTAAACATGGACGGGAAGTACATAGGTGCCTTAGTACAAACTTTCTCTGCCAATTGGTACCAAAAAGAAGTCGAATTTATGGCGTATTTGAGTTGGCTTGTTGTGGTGCATATTCACACGAGTCCTGAGAATTTGAGATCGAAAAAAGTGGGTGATACTGCATTCTCACGTCATATAGTTTGGAGAAGGGACGAGGCGATTGGGTCGGTCTGATAATGGAATGCGGACGGATTATTCAGTGAGGACGGACCACTGGGGAGACTGAGAGGTTGGAGGAGAAAGATGGTAAAGATTATCTCAAAGGAACATCTCCCCTGTTGATTGCGATAGGACGGATGTAGAACAGCCACATCTGCACGAATGATATGGCAATGGGACAAATTGCTTGTACCTAATCGATCAGTGTTCAAGGGTAAGGCGAATTCGGTCCTCTTACAAACGAGCTCCGAGTTGGGTTAAAGTATTGTTGAAACCGCGAAAGAAAACTCATTTCGGTTCAGTTTGTCAGCTGTGAACCGTTCAGCACGGGTCTCCGCTGAACGTTTTAGCCACCGAAAAGTGATAGAAGAGCAGGGAAGCTAAAAAAAAAGCTAAAAAGCGTTCAGCTATGGCACCCTTCCGGTGCCTAGCTGTCATGCCACCCGAAGAAAGCACGAGGGCTGGGATACCGCCAGGTTGCCCAAGCCTAGACAGGGAAGTCGAGTGGCGGAGGTCGGATTCGAACCACGAACCTTCCGGTCAGTAAATTCGCGCTCTAACCACTTGGGCCATCTCGACCCCGAAGAGCAGGGAAGATATGGTCAGTTGTTCTTCCACCGGTACTCAATCATACTTCTGGTTGTTTCACAGTGGTAGACCATGGGATTAAAACGCTTTTAGTCCAAGTATGATAGAAGATGAAGAGTGCGAAATACGGTCGGAACCCACAGAGAACCACGAACCAGAGGGAACTTACACATGCACCAAGAATGTGATTCTCACAAGTAAGAACTGGGTAACAAGCCAAAGAACCCACCAGCCCGAACAGCACTAGTGATCCCTGTAGTGGGGCTATTCCTGTATAAACTTGAGAACATTTGGTTCCCGTAAAGACTGGGCTAACAGTCTATTCTGTGAATTTTTAAACTCCTGCGGCCGCCACTGTTGGGAAATCAACAGTTCTGATCTGGACGTTCGGTGAAGAACTACAAATGTGGCTGTTTCGTGGTTATTTACAGCCGAACGATGACTGAATATGACAATATAACCAAGAAACGACGATCATGTGGTTGCCTCTTGGCTATCCACGGTTACAGATTTCGTTGTGTTGGTTGTTCGCTGTTTACAAATGCCCACCGGTAGCGACAAACGTAACCAAAACGATAGGGTCAATGTGCCAGCTTGCGCACGCCGGAAGTTTCTAACGTCAACTCCCGACGGTCTTCTATCTCTCCCCTCACAAGCTTATAAGCAAGCATGGTATACACGAAGGTCATCTCCGTGATCCATACAATGCTGATTTTGCAGACACTGATTCGCTTCGGAAATCTCCATCGGCTGAAGACGGATGCGCAGTAGAATTGCTGAGTGCACAAATGGAACATTTTAGCGGGCATTTTATTGTGCTCTGGAAAGCAGAACGACCGAGTAGTTCTTCGAACTTCTCGGCAGCCTTATCATGACTGCACTCATTGCGGAAAAGTTTTCTGAATGACCCAGAATGCTTCGAAACATATGCAGCAGTTGTGTTGCCAAATCTCGAGAAGGGCTATGCAATGCCAGTTGCCTCTGGTCTGATAACACTACAATCAGCCTCAAGATGTTACCTGCCTCATCACGCAATATGGAACATCAGAAAGCCTGGAAAATTGCGGGTCATATTTGACTGTGCAGCTAAGCACCACGTAAGGTCGTTGAACGACATGCTTCTCCATGGTTCAGATACAACTGCTGATTTGGTAGGCGTTCTTTTGAAACTTCGAAGAGACCGGGTTACTATGTCGGCAGATGTCGAAAAAGTATTAATGCAAGTTCATGTAATACAACTCGGTCAAGGGGCTCTGAGATTTCTGTGGTTCTCCAAGAATGACCTTAATAGTTAGCCTATTGAATTTCAGATGACTTCTCTTGTTTTCGGTGGCGTCTCTTTGCTATTATGTGCCAATTTTGCCTTGTGCCAAACTGTCTGTTTTTGGCAGGGATTCGACCATAGAATTAAATCATCTGTGTTAAACAACTTCGTAGTTGATTGCTTGGTGTCAGTACCTTCCGTGTTTGACGCAAAGATTTTTGTGCAAGGAATAACCAAGCTTCTGTCAAAAGGGAGGTCGCACCTTCATGAGTGGGTGTGCGATATTCCAAATATACTGCAAGGGCTCCCGCCATCTGAACGAATGGAAGCTTAGTGGAAATGTCTCCAAAACGACGAATATACAGCGAGTGTTGGGTATTTAATGGGATCCATCTCCTGACACCCTCTGCTTTTGGTTTCGTATTCCTGAAAACCCACTAACCCAGCTGTTTGTTCGCTTTTCGATCCACTAGGATTGATAGCCACCGTATGCTTAACTGCGAAGCAGCTGCTACAAGAACTATGTAAGGCCGGCCTTGGTTAGGACTCTCCTATCAGTGAAGATCATTCAATTCGATGGAATTTATGGTTGAACTTGGTCAAGTCGATTGGAGTTGTTTGGTACCCAAGATGCTTGCCCCTTGTCCAATATGTGAGTGTCGGTAACCCTGAGCTTCATATACTCAGATGTGTCAGAAACAGGTTATGGTGTTGTTGCATACGCACGTTCTGTGTCAACCGATGATCGGGTGGCATGCCGTTTGATTTTCCAAAAATCCAGAGGTGCTCCTTTGAAGACCGTTACCGTTCCGACGTTATAACTTGCTGCCGCCACATTAGTCGCCACGGTCTACATGCTGCTTATTTAGAGTTTACCTTACTTCTTCTCCGCGGCTACTCTCTGAACAGACTCACAAATAGTGCTTTATTACATCAATAGTCAGTCCATGAGATTTTGTACCTTTGTGGCCAATCGACTAGCCATTATCCAAGAATACTCCTTGCGGAACCATTGGAAGCACGTGAAATCATCATAAAACCCCGCCGAATTAACATCCAGAGATAGTAAAGGAGTGGACAACTTAAGTCGCTGGATGTATGGACCAGAGTTTATATACGAACCGAAGATTCTTGTGTCACTTTTGATCCCTGATCGGATACCTGATGACGTGGAAATGAGAACGATTCGAGCAACTTTAAACGTTCTTTCCAACTGAACTGTTTCCGAGCGTTTGTTTGTCCGATGGGCTAGCTGGTTTAGAGTGTTGAAAGCAGTTGCGTTGTTGAGGCTCTTCATACGCTGCCTTATGCCGGTTGCTGGTCATCTACAAGTGAGAAAATTGAAAGAAGCTCAAATGGTCGTTATCCGTCAGGTCCAAGCAGAAGTATATGAAGACAAATTAAGTCGTTTAAAAACGGACACTGAACATAAGCCGACTAGGGTCCCAGCATTACGTAAGCTTTGCTCCATTCTTCTTGACAGAGTTCTTTGCGTTGGTGGACGGCTCTAGTATTTCAGCTATGCGCTATGCTTGAAGCCCTATCCAATCTTGCCCAATAAACACCCAGTTACTGGTCTATTCATTCAACATTATCATGAAATGGAAGGTCGTTTCGGCGCTTCTCCTGTCCTAGGCGTTATTAGGCAAAATGAGTATTTCATGGGAGTCAGGTAGTGAAGCGCATCCTCCATAAGCGCGGAAAACTGTCAAGGAACATATTTCAGCAGATGATGGCTCCGAAACCATCAGTGTGATCTAAAAGGGGCAGAAAATGTTTCGAATCTGTGGGGTTTGGTTACTTTGGACCATTTTTGGTTAGACGTGGTCGCAGGATGGAAACTAGTTACGGTTGCATCCTTTCATATATGACTACCTAAGCGGTTCACCTCGAAGTGGCGCACTCATTGACTACCGATTCCTTCATTTTGGCCCTAATGAGGTTTGTTGGTCGAAGAGGGGAATCATTGGATATCTCAGGGATAACGGATCTAACTTCTCTGGGGCTGCTGAGGAACTCAGGAAGCGCGTATCGCTTTGGGACCAAGCGAAGATTAACAACCAACTATTGGCTCGAGGTATTCAATGGCATTTCAACCCACACTCGCCACACTAGCCATGCAGGAGGCGTGTGGATTCCAATGATGCGGTCAGTGTGGCAAATTATTTTGTGCTCATCCAAGAATAAACTTTATCTGATAATTGTCTTTCAACCTTTTTCTTCGAGGTGAAACTTATTCTAAGCGATTAACCTTTAACTTTTTTGTTGGCCTACATGTGGAAAACTATGGAACAAGCTCTCCTCCCATATCCGCACCACATCCTCTTATGCAGGCTTTGGAAACGCTTTCTATT